GGACCGGGACGTGGTCAGCGTGTCGCGCCGGGGCGCGGTGGGCCAGACCCAGCGGAGCGACACGCTGAGCCACAGTTCCCGAGCGTAGGCAGCGGAGCTCGCCACCCCAACTGCCCTCGGCGGCGAGCGAGGGGGGGAGGTGAGAAGGAGAAGGCCTCCTCAGAAGGTTCGGAAGTCCCCCAGCCTCCAGAGAGGTTGTCTAAGCCTCCCCCGAAGACGAAACAACTTGTCAGAAGGCGCGAGGGCGTCTGAGAAGTCCAGCCGCCTTCTGAGAGGGCCTTCTCCTTCTCATTTCTTCCCCTCGCTCGCAGCCGATGCTCGCCTGCCTGTGCGTATTCCTCGCCCACGGCGGCGCGCGAGGGCGAGCGGGTCGCAGGGGAGCGAGTACGCCCTGCGAGAACCCAGACGTCCAGCATCGGCCAACGAGACCTCGTGACGAAGAGCCGACAGAGGAGGAGAGAGGGGGGGGAAATGCAGGAGGAGAGGCGGCAAAAACAACATGTAATGATAAAGGGGCCCTTGGACACACAAATTAGCACACACAAATCACAGGATTTTCTATATTTCCTACACTTTTTACAGTTTCGTCTTTCCCTCCCCACTTCCCATATTTTCGCATATTTCTAGGGAATCGACACTTAACTGTGTCTGTGTTTTTTTCCCTCCTGTTATAAACAGGGCAGGAGGAGAGAGACGGAATAGACACGGGCACGGGAGGCCACACGGGGACGGCGGACCGGCGCGGCGTGAGGAGCGAGCTCGGACGCCGCCGCAGCCGGCCATACCCACAGAAACCCTGCCCCAGGGTCGAACAGCAGCGCGGGGCAACGTTACGGTTAGGTCGGGCGTGTCCCCGGATTTTCGACGACAAATTTAAAACAGTCAAAAATACTCCAACATGGTCAAAACAAATAATCGGACAATCGTCCCCAGACTATTTCCCAACCATCCTGTGGTGTTGGGTCATCGTTTTGAAGAGACGGTGCCCCGCGTCTCCTTCCTTCCTCCCGCTGCCCCCTCCCTCCTCCTCCTCTCCTTCCTCCTCCCTCCTCCCCCTCCCTTCTGGCACACCCCTCACACGTTTCGTGGCCCCATAGGGAGCTCCACCGAAGGCCCCAGTGGCTGCGCCCGCATGCGGTTCCACCCCCCATTCTGGCACACCCCTCACACGTTTCGTGGCCCCATAGGGAGCTCCACCGAAGGCCCCAGTGGCTGCGCCCGCATGCGGTTCCACCCCCCCATTCTGGCACACCCCTCACACGTTTCGTGGCCCCATAGGGAGCTCCACCGAAGGCCCCAGTGGCTGCGCCCGCATGCGGTTCCACCCCCCATTCTGGCACACCCTCACACGTTTCGTGGCCCCATAGGGAGCTCCACCGAAGGCCCCAGTGGCTGCGCCCGCATGCGGTTCCACCCCCCATTCTGGCACACCCCTCACACGTTTCGTGGCCCCATAGGGAGCTCCACCGAAGGCCCCAGTGGCTGCGCCCGCATGCGGTTCCACCCCCCATTCTGGCACACCCCTCACACGTTTCGTGGCCCCATAGGGAGCTCCACCGAAGGCCCCAGTGGCTGCGCCCGCATGCGGTTCCACCCCCCATTTCTGGCACACCCCTCACACGTTTCGTGGCCCCATAGGGAGCTCCACCGAAGGCCCCAGTGGCTGCGCCCGCATGCGGTTCCACCCCCCATTCTGGCACACCCCTCACACGTTTCGTGGCCCCATAGGGAGCTCCACCGAAGGCCCCAGTGGCTGCGCCCGCATGCGGTTCCACCCCCCCTTCTGGCACACCCCTCACACGTTTCGTGGCCCCATAGGGAGCTCCACCGAAGGCCCCAGTGGCTGCGCCCGCATGCGGTTCCACCCCCCATTCTGGCACACCCCTCACACGTTTCGTGGCCCCATAGGGAGCTCCACCGAAGGACCCAGTGGCTGCGCCCGCATGCGGTTCCACCCCCCATTCTGGCACACCCCTCACACGTTTCGTGGCCCCATAGGGAGCTCCACCGAAGGCCCCAGTGGCTGCGCCCGCATGCGGTTCCACCCCCCACTCTGGCATACCCCTCACACGTTTCGTGGCCCATAATATAAAATAGAAAAAAAAAATAAAAAAAAAAAAATAAAAAATAAACAAACAATTAAGAACTACAAAATAAAGAAAAAAAGGGAGCTCCACCGAAGGCCCCAGTCGGCTGCGCCCGCATGCGGTTCCACCCCCCCTTTCTGGCACACCCCTCACACGTTTCCGTGGGCCCCATAGGAAGCCTCCACCGAAGGCCCCAGTGGCGGCGCCCGCGTGCGTTCCACCCAACCATTCTATGGACTGGCACAAAAAAACCCCTCGCACGTTTCGAGCCATAAAGAGCTCACCACCGAAGGCCCCAGTGGCTGCGCCCGCATGCGGTTCCACCCCCCATTCTGGCACACCCCTTACACGTTTCGTGGCCCCATAGGGAGCTCCACCGAAGGCCCCAGTGGCTGCGCCCGCATGCAGTTCCA